CCCTCCCTGTGCCCATGTGTTCTCATTGTTTAACACCTGCCTATGAACCCTTGGTAACTCTGGCTAAAGCCCAACTCTTCACCTCTCCTGCAACCAAAGCAGTTAAACTTGGCAAGAGAAAAGGTTGTAACTCACTTCTCTCAGTTTAAACAGACTACAGTTTTCTAAAGGACAACTGACAATTCTGTGACATTTCCATAGTAAGCTCATTCTCCCACCTTCCAAAATGACCATTTTATAACTTGTCCTCTCTCCTTGAACCTACAACACCTCAGTCTCAGCCGATGACCCTGCTTCATGCCTCAGTGAGAAAATAAGTTATTGGAAGGGAACTTTCTCTAATTCTTACCATCAAATTCAGAGGCTGACCTTTTCTGCACCCATAGTTTCTACCCTATATTGTATTACAATGCTTGTAGTGGCCCTGCTCCGTCTTAAGCCAAGTCCTGCTGTTTTCGTTGAATCCCACGCCTTCTTTGTTCCCTAATTATATGCTCATTGCTGTATGTCATCAGTTTCTCCCTCTCTCGTGCATCGTTGCCATTAACATAAAAGCGCACCTTAGCATTTTCCATCCAGTTATTCCTAAACCCACATCCCCTCCAACTACGGTCCTATTTTTCTGCTCTTGTGAGCAAAATCTCTTTACAGAGTTGTTTTCACCCTGTTCTCTCCACCTGCTCCACTTGGCAACTGCCCTGCCATGACACGGAAGCTGTGCTTGTCCAGGTCCTCAACAATCCCCGCATTGCCAAACCTAATGTTTACTCTTCTGACTCCATCTTACTCAACCTTTCAACAGCTTTCATCACAGTTGACCACTTCCTCTTTCTTGAAACTCATTCTGGGGTCTCTCAATGAGATATTGAGATCTCTCTCAATAGCAGAGAGTCTCAGTCTCCTATTGACTTCCCCTGCCCTGTTTCTAAACCCTTCTCTTCTCTTTTACACTTTTGTCCTGGAGAAATCGCATTCAACTTTTGTCCACCATGTATTTGACGCTCAGATTTTTGTCTCTAACTTCTCATGAACCCCAGACTTATTTATCCAAATGTCTACCTAGCATCTCCTCTGGGATATTGAATTAGTTTTTCGTCATTGCCATGACAAATTACTACTAACTCAGTCATTTAAAACAATACCCACTATCTTACAGTTTCTGAGGATCAGAAGTCTGTGGACACATTACTGAGCTGTATTCTCTGCTTAGGGTCTCACAAGACTAAAGTCAAAATGATGTCATATGACAATAAAATGAAGTCAAAATGTCAGCTGACCTGGGCTCTTATCTAGAGGCTTCCTGGCTCATTCTCATTGTTGGCAGAATTCCATGAAGCTATAGGACTGATGTCCCATGTCCTTGCTGGCAGTTGACTGGGGGTCACTCTCAGTTCCTAGAGGCTGCTGCATTTGTTGACTTCTGGCCTGCTCTATTTTAAAGCCTACCACAGTGCACCAAATACGTCTTGTGCTTCAAATCTCTGCCTTCCCCTTTTGCCTTCCTCTTCAACCTCTAAAGGATTAATATGATTACAGTAGGATTTCAGGGTTTCTCTTTCTTGCAGTTGATGATGAGTAACCTTAATTACATCTGCAAAGCCCCTTTTGCCATATAGTAGAAAATATTCATGGTATGACACTAGGGAGCAAAGGTCATGGTGGCCAAATTTCTTTCTACCACAGATATCTAATAATAATCACAAACTTACCATTTCTGAGACAGAAACTCTTGACTCTGTCTTAAGTCTGTTTCTCCACTTGTTTTTTTCTACTTCAGTACCCATTGATCAATTCAGAAAACCTGGGAGTTCTCCCTGAATTATTTCTTTTCCTCATTACTGTTCTCTTGTTGGTTATACCTCCAAAATATATCTTGTGTTTTGTCCCTGCTGCTGACACACTAGTCCACACAGCCACAGCCACCATTGTTATCTGCATGGCTGCAGGGTTTTTGTTGTTGTTTTTGTTCGAGCAAGGTCTTAGCCTGCCACCCAGGTTGGAGTGCAGTGGTGCTGTCACAGCTTACCGCAGCCTTGACCTCCCAGACTTAAGTGATTTTCCCACCTCAGCCTCCTGAGTGGCTGGGACCATACTCATCTAATTTTTTATTTTTTATTTTTTTATCTTTTTTTTTTTTTTTTTTTTTTTTTTTTTTTTTTTTTTTTTTTTTTTTTTTTTGTAGAGACAGGTTCTCCCTATGTTGCCCAGGCTGGTTTCCAACTTCTGGGCTCAAGTGATCCTTTCTCTTTCTCTTTCCAGGCTTCCAAGTAGTTGGGACTACAGGCGTGTGCCACCATGCCCGGCTCATATTTTTTAAATTATATTTGTAGAGACAGGACCTCCCTTTGTTGCCCAGGCTGGTCTCAATCTTGTGAGTTCAGGTGATCTGCCTGCCTCAGCCTCCCAAAGTGCTGGGATTACAGGCATGAGCCTCCATGCCTGGCCATTTTTTCAACTGCTAAAGTAATATGTGTTGATTATACAAAGTACGGAATGGCTCTGAAATAAATCATATGATCCCTACCTTCCAGAGATCACCACTTGTATATTTAGGAGAACATGTTCCTTCTGGTTTTGCTATACCTGCAATTTATAATCTGCTTTTGCTCTTTTAGATAAGTAATGAATCTTTATAACCTTAAATATTCTTCTACAACATGATTTTTAGTAGACTTATGATACTCTTTGAGAAGCACTGTAATTTAGTTATTTGTTTTGTGCATTTAGAGTCCTTCTAAGTAAACATCTTTGAACATACATCTTTTTTGCACATTTTGATTTTATGAAAAGTTCAGAAGCAAATTTGTTAGGTCAGAGGGTAAAAATAATTTTTAGGCTTAAAAAATTGCCAAATTGCCTTTCAGAGAGGATGTGACAGTTAATGTTCCCTTAGCAGAGTATGGGAGTGGCTATTTTGAAATGTATTTGCCAACTTAACAGCCAGAAAAATGGTATGTTGCATTACTTGATAACTAGTGAAGTTGGAGGTGATTGTTTCATTTGTAGTCAAAAGTAGCCAGGAGAAGATCCTCAGGCTCACTAGGGCTGGCCTTATATCTTAAGCTTAGTAAGTACCCATAAACATCATAGATGTATTTTAAGTTGCAACAGGAGTACTTCTAAGAAGTCTTTCTTATGATCCTTTGAAAAAATATCCTTTTTTTGGCTATGTTTCTCACATCTTACATTTTACCATACTTGCTAAAAATTAAAGGTAGCTGCTGTTAAAGGATGAAAGAAACTCCTTGAAAACATGGCTGAAAAGTGCAAAGCTTCTCTAGATGATATTAAGATATTTTGAGGTACTACATAGAGTGAACTATTAAGTGCTATTAAGCCTATTTGAGAAGCATAAAGAATTTAATTACTATAAGGGCAGCATGTTTACTTTTGTGTTATGTAAAGAGGATACAGATTGGGGCAGTAATATGTGCATTATTTAATGCTTGATGCTTTCTCTCAACAAGTGCAAGGAAAGTCCCCAAATGTGCTCAGCATGTAAACATATAAACACATCCCTTTTTATGTGTTACTTTTAGCCTGAAAGGTAAGTACTGTTTTAATGGAATGCTTCCTAATATCTGAAATACATGTTTGATGTACCTTATTTCATATTTTGCTCATTTACTTTTGCTGTAATTATCAAATAATCCAATGAGAACAATGTTGCTAATTTCAGGTGTATCTTGTTCACCATAACTGTTGGAAGAAAATTGATTTTATAATAATGTTACCTTGTTCCAAATGCAGTCATTTCTACTGTGCTATCTTTTTAGTCCTATGCTCATTTTTGGAAAGAGGTTATTATTTATATTGTGGATGTCTGCCACAAACTTGAATATAGAGGGCTCTGAGACAAGAATGGAAAGAAGGAAACGAGGGGCAAGAACAAAGGACACTAGGGAGAGAATGTAGAATGGGAAGGGTGGTTCATGAGACCACTTCAGTGCATATTATCATTTTTACCAAAAGATAATTAGGAAAAGGAAGAGGAGGTAAAACATACATAGAGTCAGTTTTGTTCATAGTACAGTTTAAAAGGTAATGTTGGAATGCACGAATAGTTAGAATGAGGCTGTTATCATGTGCCTTCTTTGCCTTCATTTTCAACCACAAAATAGAATGGGCCAGGCTCACAGCTGACAGGAACAAAATATGTTGTAAACACTGTCTCTGTTAAAGTAAGGGAGAGTGTCTTTTCAAGGATTAAAAGTGGAGACAATGCAACTGACTTGTTCAAGGTTATGCAACAGAATGTGGATAGAAATTGGGTCATTTTATTTGTCTCTGAAGTCTCTGTCTTTTCAATTAAGTGAAAATGCATTTACTTTAGGTAACATAACAAACGGTGAGGATATATTTTCATTTTAAAAATAAAATTGCTGGCCAGGTGCGGTGGCTTACACCTGTAATCCCAGCACTTTGGGAGGCTAAGGTGGGCAGATCACCTGAGGTCAGGAGTTCGAGACCAGCCTGACCAACATGGAGAAACCCTGTCTCTACTAAAAATTCAAAATGAGCTGGGCATGGTGGTATATGCCTGTAATCCCAGCTACTTGGGAGGCTGAGGCAGGAAAATTGCCTGAACCCAGGAGGCAGAGGTTTTATTGAGCTGAGATCACACCACTGCACTACAGCCTGGGTGACAAGAGCGAGACTCCATCTCAAAAAAATAAAATAAAATTGTTATCTAAGGTATTTACTATCCAAGTTCTTAAAGATGTTTAAGTATCCAAATTCACCAAGCAGTTTATGTTCACTATCATCTGTATATTTTATGAGAGGTATGGAACAAAGAGAAAACATTTTGAAGCAAGATTTTAATTCTGCTCAAAATCTTAGAAAGTATTTTAGATTATGTGTGTGTGTATAAAGTATTTGTAATTGTATGTATTTGTAGTATAAATACTACTTTTGCATCACTATCCTCCTAAGAAAATATTCTCTTGAGTTATATACATCAGTGATGGATTTTCTGAAATATATATTTTGCTTTGTAGATGCTGATAGACAAGATTCCATTAATCTCTTCCTGGGAGTTTTCCATCCCACTGAAGGGAAACCTCATCTCTGGGAACTTCCAACAGATTTTTATTTGCATCACAAAAATACCATGAGACTTTTGCCAACAAGAAGAAGGTATTTTTCTTCCTAGTCTATAATGTAAACTCCCATTTGGTGTAATCTTGAATATAAGATATTTTTCATTTTGAGAAATCACAAGCTAAAGTAATTGTATTTTATTTTTTATTTTAAAAACTTTTAAAAAATGTTTGTGGGTACAGAGTAGGTGTTTATATTTATGGGGTACATGAGATGTTTTGATACAGGCATGCAATGGGAAAGAAGCACATCATGGGGAATTTGGTATCCATCCTCTCATGCATAAAGTGGTCAGTTTTGCCACATGCTTGCCATGAGTGCAGTACTATTGATGTCCTAATAGTAGGTTGGGGAAAATATGGTTAACAATTGTTGTTTTGCATTTTCTCTAAGATATGAAGCTTCAGAACTTCGTTGTTGAACAGAAGTTGTAGCTCCACTAAAGCAAACCAACAGTATTATCTTTGAGTGTTTCCTGCAAACCTGAAACTCTCAAGGACTCTAAGGTCCAGGGAGTCAGTCTTAAATTTTTCAAGTGTGACATCTAAGCAGCATGTACCTTGTAATTCCAATGCTCTCTCCAGCAAACAACCAGTCTCAGTGACACTGGGAAGACGGGAAGCTAGAGCAGTGCTACTAGCTGGCGTCAGATAACCATTTCCATGTCGCCACTACTCACATGCTGAGTCACTCGCCAGTAAGGGCTATTTCGAGTACAGTTGGTAATAATATTCTCAAAAGAAACAAACAGCTTAACTGAAGCAGTTTAGTGTGATGCTCTGTGGTGTGAGCCTCAGGGTCAGGCAGAGTTGGGTTGGAATCTCTGCAGTTCTGTGGCCTGAGTCTAGTAATTTAGACTTTCTAAGCCTTATTTTCCTCCTCTGAAAAATGTAAATGCCTGGACACACCTCACAGAGTCATTGCAAAGATTTAATGAGGAGGCTCTTTAGTGTTTTTAACTGAGGAGTCATGTACTATAATAATATAGTCAATTTTGCCACATGAGCAAAATGTTTTACGTACCATACATGAGGTTAGAGCCTGGTCCATTGCACTCAAAGGCCTTTAATGTCAAGTTCTCCCATCATGCTCTTAGTTCACAGCATCAGTTTGATAGAGCCCTAATTTTGTGCAAAGATACCTCCCAAACACTGCAGGAGTCATTGCCAGTCTGTGCTAACTCTGTATGGGACCATGAACAACTGACAAAGTTGCAAGTACAGCTCTTGCAGTTACTAAGTTCTGTGTTGCTTCGAGAATACTTAAAATATTAGGAAGATCTCAGAGTTTATATGTTTCTCAGATTTATTCTTATCAATGCATATTACTGGGATAAATAACTTAATATGTGAGCTTACTCTCCCTAATAAATGGAGGACTGCTAGTTTTTACATTAAATTTATTATTAATAAAAGATTACTTACATGAATTTTTGCTGACAAAAAATTTGGAACTGTTTATTTGGTGAGGGATGGGTATAAGTACCTATATTTATATTTACTGATGACAGTTAACTATGGGTAAATGTGGTTGATTTTCTGAAATTTTATATTACCTTAAAGTATTGAAGGTATTTAGATACAGCTTGAGAACAGCCAAAACTGAATTTTCCACTGTAGAAATTAGTTATGTATTATAAGTATAATTTAAACTCCTTGCTTACCTTGAGTTACATAAGGAAGACAGGTGGTTTTGGAGCTTATATGTGGGAATAAAAGGAAGCTTGTATTACATCCCCATTTTCCAAAAAAGGAAATTGAGGTGCAGAGATAATGTCTTAGCTAAGATTATTCAGTTAGATGATTCAGTGAGAATCAGTTCTAAGCCTACCACTGAAAATAAAATTGTATTAAAGTGTATAATACGGCTTACTCAGTTGATGTAGATCTCCTTTTTTGTTTTTTTTCCCCCTAGAATGTCAAAATTCTGAAAACTGCTTTTTATTTTTTGGCATCAGGGGAAGAGGGAATTGATACTGCTTATAAACAGTTTTTATAAATACTGTAAGATAAATTTCAGTGTTTTTTTTTTTAATTTCTAGTATCATGCACCTGTACAGGTTATTTTGCTGGCAGTTAAAGCAGTATTACAGTTCTCAAAAGAAATCAACAGTTAGCCAGAGGCAGTAACAGGACAACAGCACGGAGCTCAGGCTCAGGTAGAGCCAAGCTGGAATTTCTGCAAGTGTGTGGCCTGCAACCCATTAACCTCTCAGCCTCGCTTTTTCACCTGTCAAATGGAGATGACTATACACACCTCGTAGGGTCATTGAGGCTTAAAAGGGAAAGTATATGGAAAGTACTTAATACTAGGTCTGACACAGAATAAACCCAGTAGTGAAGTAGCCAGGCTCTGGAAAGCCTGCCTCCAGTTAACACCTGGTCTCATTCTGTTTCCACATCATTAAAATAGAGATAATAATAGTACCTAACTTACAAGTTTCTCTGAGAATCAGATGAGATCATATAAATGCTTAACAATTAGCAAATCCAATAGGTGTTAGTATTGTTACTAGCTTTTGCTTGTTTTTGAGTCATAGTCTGGCTCTGTCACCCAGCTGGAGTGCAGTAGTGTGATCTCAGTTCAGTGCAGCTTCTGCCTCCCAGGGGTCAAGCCATCTTCCACCTTAGCCTCCCAAGTAGCTGGGACCACAGGTGGACACCACCACACCCAGATAATTTTTGTATTTTTGGTAGAGATGGGGTTTTGCCATGTTGCCCAGGCTGGCCTCCAACTCCTGGGCTCAAGCAGTCTGCCCACCTTGGCCTCCCAAATTGCTGATTAAGGTGTGAGCCACTGCACCTGGCCTGTTACTATTCTTTAAGGAAATACCATTCTCTAGTTTTGAACATTTATTGAAGATCATACAGGGTGGCCATAAAGTTTGGAAACTTAGATAATATGACTTATTAATGCAATATCAATAAAGACTTTATTATGTATTCATGAGTGTTTTAAAATTTGGTGGGCATCCTGTATTTTATACTGTGTTTACCAATGATACAGAAATGATGTGGATATGGCATGGCGTATCTATGCCGTGAGATAATATTTTTCTTGCACAATAAGGGAAGAGGGAATAAACTTAACTCTACCTAGAGTTCTTCGGAACAAGGTCCTCTTGAGATAAGTACTTCAATTACACAAAATCTCATGCTTGTTTATCTGCCAAAAACCAATAATTGAAGCTTTGTTCTGAATCTGGTTAATATGGCATACAATCATCTAAGATGCCATCTACTGAACTAGTGTTTAGAATGTCACCAAGATGTTTTAGGTATTAAGCATTCATTATTTCATTGACTCCTAGAGTTGGGAGATTTCTTGGCCTGCCCCATCGGATATGTAAATTCCCTTCCTGTTTTCTGAGAGAGAAGTAATCTGGCCAGTGCTTGACAGGCTCTTGTTTGTCAGCTGTTGAGGAGGTAGTTGTTTTGGAATCATTCACTTACACAATTCTTCCTCACGTAGTGCTGAGATCTGCTCCTCTGTAATCTTACCTACTAATCCTAGTTAAAGCTGCTGAGACCTTAAAAACAAGATTTCTTCATCCACTTGATAATCTTTTAAATATTTGAAGATGAGTTCATACACTTTCAAAATCTCTTCTTCTACTGGTTAAATAGCCCCACTTCAGCTGTTTCTTGTATGCTGTGGTTTCAAGTTGCTCCACCATTCAGAACACCATTCTCCTCTGTATAGATTTCAGTTGAGGTCAATGTTCTTTTTAAACTGTGGCCCCCAGATCTGGGTCCAGTAATGGTCAGCATTTGGTCTGATTTGTGATAGTATATCCATCACGCCCTTGTCTTGGATGCTGTGTTTTCATCGATAAGCCTAAGGTCACATCAGCCATCCTCAGCATTGCCATCACAGTGTGCACTCTCCAGGCTTCCCGTCTGTTAGAACTCCTAATTCTTTTTTTTTTTTTTTTTTTTTTT